TTCCTATACAGGGCTGGGCATTCATACTTCATACTTACAGATTAATAAGCCCACTACAGTGAATTCATGCAGCAAAGCAGTCACGTCCAGACCCGATGGACCAGAAAATCCATATAGTTCGGCGTGAATAATACGTCTTCGTAATCTGACCAACAGATTGGGTGTGCATTTACAAGGAATTTAAATAGATGGAAAAGCTATATTTAAAGAACCACCCTGCTGAAAACACTGCATATGCTGGTAAGGTGTGTTTTGATGCTGGTATGCTGACTTTGTTGGGTCTCAATGTTGGTCTTGCTGGTCTTGATGGTTTTGATGTTGGTCTTGCTGGTCTCAATGCCGGTCTGGTTGGTTTCAATGCAGGACTTGCTGTTTTCAATGGTGGTCTTGCTGGTCTCATTGTTGGTCTTGCTGGTTTCTATGCTGGTCTAGCTGGTCTCAATGCTGGTATTGTTGGTTTCAATGCCGGTCTTGCTGGTCTCAATGCTGGTCTTAATGTTGGTCTTGCTGGTTTCAATGCTGATCTTGCTGGTCTCAATGATGGTCTTGCTGGTTTTAATGCTGGTCTTGTTAGTCTTAATATTGGTCTTGTTGGTCTCAATATTGGTCTTGCTGGTTTTAATGCTGGTCTTGCTGGTCTCAATGCTGGTCTTGTTGGTTTCAAAGTTGGTCTTTCTGGTTTTAATGCTAGTTTCAAAGCTGGTCTTAATACTGGTCTTGCTCATTTCAAAGCTGGTTTTAATGCTGGTCTTGCAGTTTTTTTTATGCTAGTTTCAAAGCTGGGCTCAATACTTGTTTTGCTCTTTTCAATGCTGGTCTCAATGCTGGTCTTGCAGGTCTCAATGGTGGTCTTGTTGGTTTCAATGCTGGTCTTGCAGGTTTCAATGCTCGTCTCAATGGTGGTCTTGCTGGACAAGCTTGAGATCATCATTGAAACCAGCATTAAAACTAGCAAGACCAGCATAGAAACCAGCAAGACCAGCTTTAAGACCAGCATTGAGACCAGCATTGAAACCAGCAGGATCAGCTTTAAGACCAGCATTGAGACCAGCATGGAAACCAGCAAGAGCACAATTTAGACCAGCAAGACCAGCTTTTAAACCAGCAAGTCAAATATTGAAACCAGCATTGAAACCAACAAGACCAACATTGAAACCAGCAAGACCACCAAGACCTGCATTGAAACCAGCATTGAAACCAGCAAAACCATCATTGAAACCAGCAAGACCATCTTTTAGACCAATAAATCAAGTATTGAGACCAGCACTGAAACCAGCAAGACCAGCATTGAGACCATCATTGAAACCAGCAAGACCAGTTTGAGACCAGCAAGTCCAGCATTAAAACCAGCAAAACCATCACTGAAACCAGTAAAACCAGCATTGAATCCAGCTATACCTATTCTGAAACCAGCTAGTCCAGCAATGAAACCAGCAAAACCCCTACTGAAACCAGTTAGTCCAGCATTGAATCCAGCATTGAAACCAGCAAGACCAGCATTAAACCAAACCTTCCCAGCTTATGCAGTTCTTTCAGCAGGGCAGGGTTATTGCATGTATTTCATATGATCAGTTACTCTATACTACCTCGATCTCCCCCAGCAAGGGAAACAACATCTCAGTAAAGTGCTGTGTTTGAATCCTCCAGAAGCGTACAATTTTAATCATAGATCTTTGGCTTTGAGTCACCTCCTCATTAAAAGTGGACGGTGACGTACAGCATCAATACATGTGTTCACTTACGGCCAGCTGCACAGCCCTATATCAGAGAGAAACACTGACTGACAGATAGCAGAATACACAGATAAACATACAGAAATAGATCAGATCAGTCATGAACAACAACAAAAAGAAAGAATAAAAAAAAAAAAACTAAACACTCTTTATAAATCAACCATTAAAACATTGGCACAATGAGGAAAATCATATTACAATTCAGCTTTAAAGGGATAGTTCCCCCCAAAAATGACAGTTCTGTCATCATGTACTCATTCAAAGCTTGAACACAAACAGAAGATATTTTGAAACATGCTGAAAACCTGTAACCATTGACTTCTATAGTATTTGTTTTGACTTCTATGGAATTCAATAATACAGGTTTTCAGCATTCTTCACAATATCTTCTTGGAGCCACTTCACTCAAAAATAGTTCACACAATTTTTGAGTGAACTATCCCTTTAACGTATGTACATCACCCAGACAAGAAACTTCTAGTATTATGCACCCTAACATTATTGTCTGAGTTATTTTGTATTGAGGCCAGCACTTCATCTGCAGAAACAAGATATTATGCATAACAATTAATGAATGGTTTCAACAACTTAATAAATTGAAGTCATGAGTGAACAAAAACGAAACGCTAAAACTGCAGTTCCATTCTGAGGCAGATTTTGGTGCAAAACATAGAAAATATGATAATCTCAGACACTGATTATGTGTTTTATTTAACATTAAAGAGGGTTTACATGAGTTTCAACAAAAACTGCATTTGTTTATAGACATACTAAATATTCCAATGTATATTTTACCATGGCGATTTGTAATACCGTACATTATTATTATTATAGATGCCTTTTACTGTTTTTATAGGAAAATTTCAATCCATAATTCGACAACTGGTTGGTCTAAGACAAAAAATAATAATAATAAACAAATAATGAAGAAAGTATACTGTAAAAAATATTAGTTGACTTTTTTTAAATTTATTTTACTTGAAAATAAAAGAGCAAACCTGTTGCTTTAAAAATGGCTAGTTAATTTTACCAAAAGAATAGAGAGTAAACCATTTGCCTTAAAAATGTACAAGTAAATGAACATCAGGGCCCGGTTTTTCAAAAGTAATCCACTAGGATTTTGGATAAGGGATTGGATCAAATCTTGAAAATGGGTTTTTCAAAAGAAAAAACGGATTACCTAATCGGATTAGATCACGTAATCCAATCTTGGTTTTGATCCGGATCAAACCTTTAGTTTGAGTTTTTCAGACCTTTTTTGTAGGATCCGGATCACTTTGATCCAAAAAACCTGGATTAAACTGATCCCATCAGAAGGGTGGATTTAACATGGATTTCATGCCCAAAATGTAATGAAAACTTAATTTTCATTAAATAATACTATTTTTAATACTAAATTTATTAAATAATACTATTTTTGGATCATACAATATCTTACAAGATATACTATTTATTCATAAGGTTTTAATTTTATTTGTTCATCCGTCAGGCTATAGTGATTATAGGCTTTAACGTATTCAGCCTTTCAGTATAGGCCTACAGCAACGTAGAAAGAGTTTGGCCTCATAAAATAATCCCCCAAACAGCTGTCAAAACAGACCAAAAACAATCCATTTTATTCTGTCACTAATTGATATATATATTCATCACAATTGAAAATATTTTTGTTTTTAGAATATTTATTAGTGATGCATGCAATGATTACAGAATAACAAAAAAAATGTAAAGATTGGCAATGACTGATTTTTGAAATCTCTTTCAACAATTGCAAAAAGAGACTGAAAGGGCAGAAGCACAGCTTCATCTGGCAGAGGAACAACTGACTCTAACCAAACTGCAGCAAACCAAGGCCAGACTTCAGATCCGCCTCCTAAAGGATACACACAGACAAGCTGCTCTCTCCACATCAGATGAGGAAGTCTGAAATTATTGTGGAGTTTTGACATTAAGTCTTTTTTTATTTACATTTATATTTGAAACTTATTATAAATATCCTCAATGTGCAGTGTTGTAGGTCTCAGATGAGCGGACTGCTGGAAGAGGATGGGGTGGGCTTTTTCTTGTTTTTATTATTTATTATTATTATTATTTTAATAATTATTACATTTTCTTAGTTTTCATTTCAAATAAAAATAAAGATATATTGACCACAAGCTGGCTAATCTACTCTTTACATATCTATAGTTCTACATTGTGATTTCCTATCCTGTTTGAGCACTGGTTATCCAGATTTAGTGATCCTGAAAAGTTTCTATTCGGATCAGATTGATCCAATCCGATGTTGCTTTGAAAAACTGGCTCAAAAAGTAAGCTGGATTACGTGATCACGAATCGCAAAAACAGAATTACTAAATCCGGATCAATCTGATCCGGATTAAACCTTTTGAAAAACCGGGCCCTGCTGTGCCAGATTTATGCCAAATCTGAGCCAGAATTCTTTGCTATCTGGGTGGGCCACTGCCAAGGACTACCCAACAATTCTAGAGGACCATGTAACCCAATGGGTCAAACATTATATCCTGAAGGCTCATACACACCGGGACGATTTTCGCTCATGTTTATCGGTACCATGTTTTGAGATGTTTTTCAGCGTTCAAACCCAGGAGATTTTCATTGGCGTTGAGCAGAGTGAACAAGCGAAATCAGAACCTGATGTTAGAGAGCCTTTAATGAACTTGCAAGTCATGAAAGAGAAGTGAAATGAAACTCGCTATCAAATCATATTTGACACTCTCCACTCCTACTGCCGTTATTGTAGTTGCGGTTATCATAAGCTGTGTCCCAAATCGCATACTTATGCACTATTCTACGCCATTTTGTAGCATAAATAGTGTAAGTAGTGTGTTCACACTGAAAACTCTAACAATAATAAGTGCACTTTAATTACCCGGATGATGCACTCATTCAGCCGCTAAAGTGAAGTGTGTAACGATGGACACTTCACACACTCAACGACCGCAGGTTTGCTTACGTAGCGGAAGGGGCGGAGCTATCGGACGCACATGTTGAATAACTTTATTTATTTTAGATGGTGAAAGCAAAATTCTCCTACGAGAGTGATTATAGCGCCTCCCGATGGTGAATGCGGCAACACTCATGGCAGGTATTATTTGATAATTCGGTCGTTTATTTCACTGATTTGGCGACCGTCAAACGTCATCAGGGAAACGGTTTGAATTTGCACTTAGTAAAAAAACATTAGTGTGGCATTTGGGACGACACTACATACATGTACTATCCTGTTGAGTGTGTAAGTGCATAAGTGCATGAGTGCATGAGTGCATAGTGTATAGTGTGCCATTTGGGACGCAGCTATACAGTTTTATTGGTGCATTATCTTCTTCATTGAATTAGAGTGAAACTGGAATCACCTCAACTGTTTTGCGCTTGAGCGCCTCCAAGTGGTGTTTACTGTTACTTCAGCAGCTCCGGGCACATGAACAAAAGTGGCTATCTGATTGGTGGAGAAGTTGTTGACGTGGCGCGTTAGAACAAAACAAAAAACAAGCATAAGGCATTTCTTTAAAAATGTCACGCCTGGCGTGTTGCGCGTTGGTGCATGATCACATTAGTGTCCTTTGTTTAGTTACGAGGCATTGAACGTTGACGAAAAACACAAGCAAAAATCGTCCCGGTGTGAACGGGCCTTGAAGGCGGTGGCGTGTATCAGGATGATAATGCACAAATACACACAGCAGGACTGGTGATAGAGTGTTTAAAGAACATGAAAGTGAAGTTGAACATCTCCCATGGCCTGCACAGTACCCAGATCTAAACATTATTGAGCCACTGTGGCGTATTTTGGAGGAGCAAGTCAGGATAAGGTTTTCCTCCAACCAGTATCACACACTTTTACTCTGCAAAAAACCCTCTGGCCGCTGTGCAGGACTGCTATCTGCCATTCCCAAGACCAACTGATGCTGTATTTGCTACAAAATGAGCCCCTACACCCTACTGATGAATTATTGTGATCTAAAACCAGTCGTTTCAGTTCCACTGTCCAACCTCTTATATGTGTATAGTTCATGATTATAAAAAATAAGTTAAATCTACTTAATAGGTTCTAAGTTATGATGGGTTTACTAATTTTTTAAGTAAAAAGTCAACTTAACGCGTTTTAAAACAACGGGTTTGCTCACGTTACGTAAAATAAATAATCGCTTTTTACAGTGTAGGGGTCTGAGATGATGTTGGCAACATTATTGCTGTCTTCAAAGTTTATTTCTAGCGCTATATTCTGCAGAATATGTGCAGTAGCCATGCAAATCCTTCCAACAAGTGCTAAAGCCTGGCTATTGTGAAGCCCAATTGGCTGACTGGTAAATAATTAAAGGTGGAGCTTATAAAAAGTGGGCGGAGCTACATAACCAAGGTACTGTTGGCTGAATTATTCCTTATTACATGTGATGTTTTCAAGTATAGCAAAAACAGCAACCCAACAGAAGCTCTGGAGATCGGAGTGTTCCCTCAGTCCACTAGATGGCAGAAGCATTCGGGTCGTATCCTCGCCGTTTGACATTCCTTATTGTTTGGAAGACAAGGAAAGATGAGATGTTGTTAGTAAATGCTGATGTTTTCAGAGTAATACTCATCATATCTGAGACTCAGTTTCAGCCAACAGGCTCAGTCTGCAAACGTAGCCCTATATACATTTCTGGAGATCGCGAATTATGTAGCCAGAGCTACGCATGGCTGCATTTCATCTTTAAAAGGAACGCCGTTCCGTTTTTCGCTTACCAGCTGACCGCTTACTTCAATATGGATGGCTTTAGCACTGTTACCAGTTTGCCCAGTAGCTCGCAGCCTACATCAGCAGACTTGAGAGGCAGAGCAGAGTTGGGTGTGATAACGAGTTTCGAACCCAGTAAAGAACTGCTCCAGAAAGCAGACAAGACAAAAACAGAAGCAAAAAAATAAAATAAACAAGTGAATAACAGGGTGAGAACTGTTGGTGAACTCTGACACTGTCGGTTGGGTTTAGGGAAGGGGTGGGCGGGTCAATTGGTGCTTTTGAAAACACTATCGGTTGGGTTTGGGAAAGGGGAGGGTGGGGTGGGGGGATCAGACGGTTGTTCAGTCAGTCTGTCGACAGCGGTCTGTAGTGAATTTACGTGAGAACAGCAGGAGCAACTGACACTACTGAGAGAAATTTGAAATCTAAAAAAAAGAGAGTACACAGCGACCTCTGGTGGCTTCACGAAAACAAAAACTGTAAAAAAAATATAGCTCCTGGGACATATTTGGTGCTCTCCAGAAATGTATATAGAGGTACGTAATTCAGAATGAGTCTGGGTTGGTTTCAGCTCCACAGAGTCTCAATAATAATAATAATTGTAACTTACTTAGTGTAAAAAATATCCATTAACAGTTTTCCGTATGAGTTTTGTCTGAAGAATGCTGAAAACCTGTAACCATTGACTTTAATAATATTTTTTTCCTACAATGGAAGTCAATGGTTACAGGTTTCCAGCTGTCTTCAAAATACCTTCTTTTTGTGTTTAACAGAGGAAAGAAACTCATATCTGTGGACATAATTTATATACATAGTTAAAAAATGTAATTAGTACTAATAATTCAATGTTATTTTTAAGTAACACGAGTTTTAGACTTATGATCTTGAATGTGTGAATCTGCAGCAGAAGCTCATATGGTAATGAGTGAGCGCTGCAGGTTGATGAAGAGTAAAAAGACATGCAGAATTGTGCTTACTTAAACCCCCATCCCGTCCCGCCCAGGACTATAGCTGCCACCAGGATGGCTCCGGCAATTGACCCTATGATCAGATTGGTGGCACTGGGACCTGTTTGGGCAAATGTGTAAAAAACAAGACACTTCGATGCTAAAAAACACCAACACAGAAGATTAGTGTGAAGATTCAGCATTATAGTGGCGTCTTTAGAGTCAAATCTTACTTCAGTGAGCCCCTATGCTGCGTTAAAGCCCCCCTGACAAAACAAATTGACTTATATCTTATTAATTTGAGTTAAATTACTCTAGTGAAGCCTTTAAATGTCACTTTAAGCTGAACACTAGTGTCTTGAAGAATATCTAGTCTAATATTATGTGCTGTCATCATGGCAAAGAGAAAATAAATCAGTTATTAGAGATGAGTTATTAACACTATTATGATTAGAAATGTGTTGACAACAAAATCTGCTCTCCGTTAAACAGAAATTGGGGAAAATATACAGGGGGCTAATATCTCTGACTTCATCTGTAAGTGTAAGAGCAACAAACCCTTAGGTCCTTCATCTTCATCGGGTTCTGGCTCTTTTGGAGGGTCAGCCAGACTGCAGTCCATCCCGGCCCACGTTGTGTCACATGTACACGTCGCCTCATTATTGCACACCTATTGAAAAGCAGAAATGTAGGTCAAAACATTAACAAAATCATTCACAGCGAGGCCCATAAATATCAGGACATCGACACAATTCTAACATGTTTGTCTCTATACATCAACACAATGGATCTGAAAGGAAACAAACAAGACGGTCAGCTTTAATTTGAGGATATTTACATCCAAATCAAGTGAACGCTGTAGGAATTACAACAGTTTGCATATGTGCCTCCCACTTGTTAAGGGTCCAAAAGTAGTGGGACAGAATGCTTGAAATGTAAATGACATGTCTGTTGTCCTATCATGCATCCAGGGGCGGACTGGGACAAAAATTTAGCCCTGGCACTGTAGCCACATCAGCCCACATAATCACACCGACACAGCCCCACCCACCGACACGCACATTCACTATTTATTTTGGTGTACAGATAGTGAAATAATATGACATTCTTGCCAGATTTTGATTACGGCCGGGTACCCTCGGATTGGGTCGGCCCATCTTGAAATTAGGCGACCATCGCCGATTGGGCCAAATGCTTAACATTTATTATTATTATTATTTATTTTTTTTATTAGTATTATTTTTTATTTATCATCATCATAATATCACATATAGCAAGAGATAAAAGCTGCCTGCACGTAAAAAAAAAAAAAAAAAAAAAAAAAAAAAAACTGACCGGCCCACATTTAAAAATTGGTCCAGCCCTTCTGGCATTTGCCAGATTGCCAGATGGCCAGTCCGCCCCTGCATGCATCAGTTACATCAAGTTACAACCAAGTATTTAAAAAGTGAAAGTTTTATTTATGATTATCATTCTGTCCGATTACTTTCGGACCCTTAACAAGTGGGAGGCACATATGCAAACTGTTGTAATTCCTACAGCGTTCACCTGATGTGGATGTAAATATCCTCAAATTAAAGCTGACCGTCTGCAGTTAAAGCACATCTTGTTCATTTCATGTCAGATCTATTGTGTTGGTGTATAGAGCCAAACATGTTGGAATAGTGTCGATGTCTAAATATTTATGGACCTAACTGTATACAATGCATCTGTTGAATGCTTGGGTCTGATTGGCTAATGAGCGGTTTGCCGTTATTTTCATATAAATGCACAGATAAAGTAGTTCCGACAGGTTTTGAGCAGCAATTTACTTTAACATGTTCAATTAACCAGCTTGACATTAAAATTTGATCAATGTACATAGTTTTTTTTGACCAATCTTAATATGCAAATGAGGACGATCTATTAACTGAGACAATCTGAATCAAATACTAGCAAAATTATCATATTTGTTACACCACCAGCTTGAAAAAGTGCTTGCACAACAAAATACAGGCGTTTTAAACTAATAATAATGAAATGACCCTTGAATATTTACAAAGAAACAGCATTAGTGAAGAGCACTTATGGACATATAGTTCAACGTTAAAATCAGCCCCAGAAATAATCTGCAAGCGTGTCACTCCTCGAATACACACACAGATAGAAATCGAAAGTAAAACTAAACATGAATATATAGTGCAGAACTTTAAAGTGGAGGGAGTGGCTATACACTCACCGGCCACTTTATTAGGTACACCTTACTAGTACCAGATTGGACCCTCTTTTGCCTTCAGAAGTGCCTCAATCGTCCATGGCAGGGATTTGTCGGCTGCACATCCATGATGCAAATCTCCCATTCCACTAGATTCCAAAGGTGCTTTATTAGATTGAGTTCTGGTGACTGTGGAGGCCATTTGAGTACAGGCCTAAAAAGATGGCCTAAAGATGGTTGTGCGTGAAAATCCTAGTAGATCAGCAGTTTCTGAAATACTCAGAGCAGCCTGTCTGGCACCAACAACCATGCCACATTCAAACTCACTTAAATCCCCTTTCTTCCCCATTCTGATGCTCACTTTGAACTGCAGCAGCTCCTCTTGACCATGTCTACATGCCTAAATGCATTGAGCTGCTGCCATGTGATTGGCTGTTTAGTAATATGTGTTAATGAGCAATTGGCCAGGTGTACCTAATAAAGTGGCCAGTGAGTGTATGCAACTGCATAACAATGAAAGTGATCCCATAATGGAATTTAAAAGCATAAATAAATGGAAAAAATCTAAAAACACGAATCACAAAATACTGAAAACTGCTCAATTTATTTATATTTTTCAGTGCATGTGTGACCGGTCAGGACATTTCTCACCCCGTGACTGGAACACACGTGTCCGTTGGGTCCATTGGGACAGGAGCTCAGGTTTAGATACTGAATAGGAAGACACTTTCTGTCCACACACATCATAGATGGACCGCAGGGAGTCCCGTCCTCCACATAACCAACATCAGTCTGATCGTCCAGCAGGACATGTGCACCGCTGAGGAGAGACAGTGGGTTTATATACAGTTGAAGTCAGAATTATTAGCCCCCTGAATATTTTACATTTGACAGTAAAGATGACAGCACATAATATTAGACTAGATGTTCTTCAAGACACTAGTGTTCAGCTTTAAGTGACATGTAAAGGCTTCACTAGGGTACTTAGGGTAAAGATAGGGTAATTTGAAGACATTGTATAACAGTGGTTTGTTCTGGAGACAATCCAAAACTAATATTGCTTAAGGGGCGAATAATATTGACCTTAAAATGGCTTTAAAACAATTAAAAACTGCTTTTATTCTAGCCGAAATAAAACTAATAAGACTTTCTCCAGAAGAAAAAATATTATCAGACATACTGTGGACAATTCCTCAATCTGTTCAACATCATTTGGGAAATATTTGACAAAGACTAATAAAAGGTAAATAAGGAAAATAAAATTAATAAAAAAATAAAAATAAAGATAATATAGCTGTTTGTTCCATTACATCCAGCTTTTTAAAAAATATTTAATATCCTAAAATGTGTATAAAAACGTGTATATCCTTGAAGAAGTCTTCTCACCTGCAGTCGATCAGTCGGCCCTGATGGTTGAAATTGGTGGGAGTGATTTCTCCCTTTATAATGCCAATCCGTGGGATTCGGCCGGTGTTTGTGCACAACAGAAACCCGCAAAACACATCACTGCAAACACACAGACAACACAAACACTAAAATAGCCAATCCAATGTGCCAACCGCTGAGTTTTATTTGTGGTGTTCGCAAAATAACTCTTTATACTTTGGATTAAAACTCCCAAAGCAGGAAAAACAAACACTGTGGAAGTCCGTGGTTACTGGTTTGCGGATTCATATCCATCAGCCTTAAAATCTATCTTACTGCTATCTTACTGTATTTAACAGTTCACAGTTAATCAGTTTATTTAGACCAGGGTTGTCCAAACTCGGTCCTGGAGGGCCGGTGTCCTGCAAAGTTTAGTTCCAACCCCAACCAGACACACCTGGGCTAGCTGATCAAGCTCTTACTAGGCTTTCTAGAAACATCCGTGCAGGTGTGTTGAGGCAAGTTGGAGCTAAAATCTACAGGACACCGGCCCTTCAGGACCGAATTTGGGCATCCCTGATTTAGACTTATAATATGCAAAAGACAACAGAATCGTGTAATCAGGGGTAAAAATAAACAGAAAACTCAACTCAAGTCACCTACAACTTCACTGAGCAACAGTCATTGCACAATCCCAGCCGGCTCCGGCACTTTTTTACTTCATCGTCTTGAAACATTTGCATTGTGCTCCATGATTTTTGCATGTGTTGTGAGGATTTGCAGCTCATTTTCTGTTTGTGTTTGTGTTGTGAGGATTTGTGCTGAAGATCTTTTCGTTATTTGCTGCTGCTTTTTGTATTTGCATGTGTTTTCTTAAGCTTCAGTGCATTGAGCTCTCTCAGCCGGACTTTATTCACTGTTAAAAATATCAGTTTATTAACAGTTTACGTATTTAGGGATTCACAAGTGCTTGTTTACTGTTGTGAATTGCATTATGGGATGTTGATCTCTGCTCTGTCCACTTTTAATGTTGAAAATACAACTGTGCAGTTAAACAAAGTGACTTTTATTGAGATTTTAGTCACTAAAATTAATAATATAATGTAGAAGAAATACTATCTAGAGAGATAGGTGTGTAAAATAACTGAGAATGCGCTGGCAGTTTATTACAAGGTGTTTTTAGCGTAATATACAACACCAACACAGACAATAAAGCACTGCACACTATTACAAATGCTAATCTAAGTCACTTTTTACAACTATTCAATGTTAAACGTTGCTGAAAAAAAGATTGAGGTCCCATAATGCAATGAAAAAATAAACTTTAAACTTTAATTCAAGGATGTTTTAACAGTGTAGAGAGTGATGAGATCTTTATGAGGTATCGAACCAGTAAGCAAACACACGTGAGCATTGCAGCGGTGAGATTTTCTTACTGCTTACTGCACTGTGTCCATTTGTCTCCATCCGGACCGCAGTTGCCCTTCTCTGAGCCCTCGGTGTTCAGCTTCTCATAGCAGAACTTCTCTGAGCTCGCAGCCTCTGAAACAACACAGAGAAACAGGGAAACACACTGTATAGATGACTTGCAGATGACTGAGCAAACAATGCTTTTCTTACTTAAATCTTTTGTCTTGTTTCAAGTCCAAATATCTAAAAACTTTTAAATCAAGAATTATTTGTAGAATTAATCATGTTTTAAGAAATAATGAGTCAAAATGAAGTGAGCTTTTCCTTAAAAAACTAGCAAAATAGTCTGCCAACGGGGAAAGCAATATAATCTCTATTAAATTGTCACTCATTAATAAACATGAACACAAGAACTGATGAAATGAACACAAGAACTGATGAAATGAACACAAGAACTGATGAAATGAACACAAGAACTGATGAAATGAACACAAGAACTGATGAAATGAACACAAGAACTGATGAAATGAACACAAGAACTGATGAAATGAACACAAGAACTGATGAAATGAACACAAGAACTGATGAAATGAACACAAGAACTGATGAAATGAACACAAGAACTGATGAAATGAACACAAGAACTGATGAAATGAACACAAGAACTGATGATATAAACACAAGAACTGATGAAATGAACACAAGAACTGATGAAATGAACACAAGAACTGATGATATAAACACAAGAACTGATGAAATGAACACAAGAACTGATGAAATGAACACAAGAACTGATGAAATGAACAGAAGAACTGATGAAATGAACACAGGAACTGATGAAATGAACACAGGAACTGATGAAATGAACACAGGAACTGATGAAATGAACACAGGAACTGATGAAATGAACACAAGAACTGATGAAATGAACACAAGAACTGATGAAATGAACACAAGAACTGATGAAATGAACACAAGAACTGATGAAATGAACAGAAGAACTGATGAAATGAACACAAGAACTAATGAAATGAACACAAGAACTGATGAAATGAACACAAGAACTGATGAACTGAACACAAGAACTGATGAAATGAACACAAGAACTGATGAAATGAACACAAGAACTGATGAAATGAACACAAGAACTGATGAACTGAACACAAGAACTGATGAAATGAACACAAGAACTGATGAAATGAACACAAGAACTGATGAAATGAACAGAAGAACTGATGAAATGAACACAAGAACTGATGAAATGTTGACTCACTTGGACCCCACACATATTTGCACTGACTGTCTCTCGTCTTGCACTCGCCGGCATAACAGCGACCCTGCAGACACAACAGTCTCAATAATCTCAATAATTAACAATGACCGTATCTAATTAACATGTCAATCCGGCAGATTAACTTGACGATCACAGGCCTCTTTAAAGAAACACTGCACTTAAATAATAGGAAATAGGCTCATTCTACGTCTCTCTCTCAGAGTTAAAGAGTTGTGTTTTACCATTTGTGAAACCATTCAGCTGATCTCCAGGTTTGTCAGGAGCACTTTTAGCTTAGCTTAGCATAGATCATTGAATCAGATTAGACCATTAGCATCTTTGTACTAAGATAAAAGGAAAATTAATAGTTGTTATT